TTATTACAGGCCAAGAGGGTAACAATTCACGTGTTCACTCACAGTCACTTTCCCAAGCTCTGGTTTTCATGACCAAAAGAAATAATAATATGCAACACATTGAAATAAAATTAAAATGTACATTATCTAAATGATAGCTTAAATGTACTAATTAGTTATTTTTTTTTAAAGACAATAAAATGATGGCAATTCTCAATAGGCAGCTCAGCAGCCTGCATATAAACTGAATGAAAATTTCCTTCTCTTAGCCTCTGCATTACTTGAACCAACTTAACAGAAAACAGAATATTTTCAAAAACATCATGCAATGGAGTTTAAGTTTCTAGAATTTTACATCACGGAAGATATCATTTGAAACATAATAGCTAAATGCCTTCTTCCCTGGTACAGCTTGCTTGGTGTATTGATAAAAACTAAGATTAATATGCAAAAGGAAACTGTAAGAAACTTGCCCTGCACTGGTCAGCACCAGGCATGTGTGTGCCTCTTCCTATGAGAAAGCAACTGCACCCAGAGCGTGAACATCTGGGTTTGGTTCTCACATCACCACTCCCTTGCTATCATCTTAGGACACTAGCAGCATAGCAAACTTAATTTACCCTATCTTAATGATAAGCAATGAAGCAAAACTAGAAAAAATGCAGTGAAAAAAGGACCTATTTACAGCCCAGGAGGTCCAGCTGGTTGCCAAGTCTCTCAACATCTCCTGGAAGCTACACATCCCCTACCACCCTCAGTTTCCAGGTAAAGTTGAACAGGCTCACAGCATCCTTAAAGACCATTTGGCCAAACTTACCTCTTGGCCCACGCTCCTACCTCTTGCCCTGGCCCAGGTCTGGGCCACCCCACAGGGGCCAATGGGCCTTAGCCCCTTCAAATTGCTGTATGGCCAGCCTTTCCTGGTTTCTCACAACCTCCCTGGAAAAACCGCCCTCACTGGCTTTCTACCTTCCCTTCCTCTGCTCAGCCACCTGCTTAGGAAGCATGCGGACTGCAGCCTCCCTGTTGTTCCAGGACAGGAAAACGCCCACCCAGCGATGCCTCTCCAACCAGGCAACAGAGTTCTCCTCTGAGAGCTCAAACCAGGATCTTTGCAGCCCAGGAATCCTGGACTAAGGGCCCCACCACCAGGACCCATTATCTTGCACAGGCAAACTGCCAAACAGGCAGCTGTCAGTCTACTGTCTCCATCCTCATCCCACACAGTAAAAGTGCCGTACTCAGTTGCCATCATGGGTTTCACTTTTGGCATGGGCTGTGTTTTCTATATGATCAAACCAAAAACCACTGTCATTGGTGGAACACCACCTACGGGGGGTGCCCATACAGCTCTTGTGTTATTCACAAGCCACAGCCTCCAAGCTGTCCCAATCGCATGTTCACTCACTTCAGCAATGGTTCCTTAGCCCTCAACATCCATGACCCCTGGCACAGCCGTTGGAATGCAGGAGTGTCCGGTAAAGCCTATGAAGATTATACCTAGCACCACCTTAACGGGCATCCCCTTGTTCAAAGTACACTCTCAAAATCTCTCTCTCTCTGCTATGAGGCGGCCAACAGCTCCAGCTGCAACACCACAGTAAAATTAAAATCCTCCCTTTATACGCCTCCAGGGGGATACTTTTGGTGTAATGGGACCCTAACCAAAGTTATTAATGCCTCCTTTCCCTTCCCTTGTGTGCCTGTCACTTTGGTCCTGCAGCTAGATGTATATGGGCAAGCTGAGTTCCTATCCCTCATCTCACTGTCCCCTAATCACTGTAGCAAACGTGCAGTCTTCCTCCCAATAGTTGTTTACCTCTCCTTAGCTTCCTCTCTAGCAGCAGCTAGAATAGGGAGTGGCGCCCTGGGCTACAGTGTCACTTCAGCTGCCCAACTAGAAGACAAGCTCTGTGTGGCCATTGAGGCATTCGCCGCCTCTCTGGCCTCCCTATAGTGACAAATCATGTCGCTGGCCCAGGTAACTCTCCAAAACCGATGGGCCCTAGACCTGCTAACGGTAGAAAAAGGAGGTACCTGTCTGTTTCTTCGGGAGCAGTGCTGCTATTACATCAATGAAACAGGCCTTGTGGAATAAAATGTCAACACTCTCTATCGCCTCCAAGAGGGCCTCTGCAAGAAGCAGAACGCATCAAGTTCACCTCTCAACTGGTGGCAATCCCCCATGCTTACCTGGCTAACCCCTGTTATCACTCCCATTATCCTAGTTTGTCTTCTGTTAATGCTAGCCCCTTTTTTCCTCAGGTTTTTACAGGCCCACATAAGGGAAATTTCCAGGGTGGTCGTAACCCAGATGCTGCTTCACCCCTATGTCCGACTCCCAACCGAGGCAGCAGCCAACTGACCCTCCCCTTCACTCCACCCCTACTCAGCAGGGAGTAGCCAGAAGTTTCCTTTTTTTTTTTTTTTTAAGAAGATTAAATGCCAATTTATTTAACTCCTGGGCAAGGTTCCATGGTCCTGGGGAAAGGGGCCAGGGAAGTCGCACCAACTTCCTGGGGCATGAGTTTTTATAGGTAGGAGGAACGAGCAACAGCTGGGTGCTCTGATTGACTCCAGGGGAGGGGGATAGAGAAGGGGCGGGTTTTCCAGTGGGAGAACCAGCCAGGAGCCTTGCATCAGCTGGAGCCTTCCAGGGGAGCCCTGTGGCAGAGTGAGATGCCAAGTGCAGAGGTAGGCGTGTCCAACCTCCCGCCGAGGCAACCGGCCTACATTCCGACCCTTTTGATGATATAGGACACCACTTCTTTCTCGCTACTTCCCGCTGAATAATGGCAAAGTGTGGGAGAAGGGTCAGTTGGCTGGTGCCTTCGTTGGGAGTTGGACACAGAAGTGAAGCAGCATCTGGTTTACGGCCACCCTGGAAATTTCCCTTATGCGAGCTTGTAACAATCAGAGGACAAAAGGGGTTAGCATTATCAAAAGACAAACAATGATAATGGGGATGATAATAGGAGTCAGCTAGGTAAGCATGGGGGATTGCCACCAGTTAAGAGAAGAGGCCGGTGCATTTTGTTTTCTTTGGAGGTCTTCTTGGAGGTGATAGAGAGTATTGACAACTGTGGCTTGAAGCCTCCCTGAGACAAGACCTTAAAGCAAGTAACACATGCCTTGTGTACCTGCTTAATCATCTGTTGTAGACCTGGTGAGAAAAAGGGGGGCTGCACAAAGCAGTGCAATGCCTTGGGCCCTATATGTAAGGATTGGTGGATTTCAGTAATAATTTTAGGGGCCTGTTCCCGTGAAAGGGCAATCCTGTCATTTAAGAAGATCCAGCCCTGATCAGACTCAGTTCCTCCTCTTAATATGAGGGCCTGGTTGTCTGATGGTGAGTAAACCAGTGATGTGGCCATGGTGAGGAGCAGGATTGGAGTGGGGGCTAGCCTGGTACTGGTTAAGGATTTTGCTGTTGCATCTGCCCTTGCATTGCCCTGGGAAACAGCATCCTGCTGGGCGACGGTGATTTCTTTGGGCAGTGATAGGGCCTGCAGGAGATTAGAGATTTGGGTAACATTAATTATGGGGGACTCCTTTGTGGTAAGGAATTCCCGCTCTTTCCAGAGGGCAGAGTGGCAGTGGGTAATAAGAGTCAGTATAGATATTTGCTTGATTTCCCTGTGCTAGTGTAAGAACTCGGGTTAGGGCAATGAGCTCCGCCTTTTGTGATGTGGTTAATGAGTAGTTCTTGGGCTAGCAGGTGGGTGACAATAGGCTTCAGGCCTTGACAGTGGATTTTTGAGATGGGGAACTAAGGTTGTGAGGGAAAGTGGACTGACGGACAAAGGATGGGTGCCCCCCAGATGGGAGACCAGTCTGATGCCTTCCTGGCCATGTCCCAGGAGGGATGTTTCAGGGCATCTTGGCTAAGGTGTGCCGGTATAACCCCTGGGCCTGGTCACCTCAGAACTTTCAGTCCTGAGGTGAATCACCGTTATGCCTTATGATGTCCCCATGGAACCGCAGGTTGAGGCCCACACAAGCCCCATAGCCGTTAGGCCATGGGACTACACATAAACTCACTCACTCACTCCGGATTAGGAAAAGAAACTGAAAGTACAGTTACTTAATGAACGGGAGTTTATATGCCAAAGGGCTGATTTGAGATAGACGTTTTAGTAGTGTAAGCCGGGGATTTGGTCTTGCTGTTAGGCAGTGCCCAGGTTTACAAACAGGGCTTCTGATTACCCAAACCTTGGCCGCTGCTACAGAGATGATCGGAAGGCATCCTGGACTGCACTACTGAATACTGGAGAGGGTTCAGCAAAATGGGGACGTCTCCCTCAGATTCCTGACCCCGAGAAAACCCCTTACGGAGAGAAGACAAGAGTGTAGGAATGTTTCCTCTACGCTCAGATCCTCAGGACGAGGGTCTTGCCAACCAGGAACTGGCTGAGGTGGTTAGTAGAGCTGTGTCAGATGGCTATAGCTGTGTCACGTTAGGAGGAGACCACAGCCTGGCAATCAGTACCATTAGTGGCCATGCCCGACACTGCCCAGACCTTTGTGTTATCTGGGTTGATGCCCATGCTGACATCAACACACCCCTTACCACTTCATCAGGAAATCCCCATGGACAGCCAGTTTCATTTCTCCTCAGAGAACTACAGGACAAGGTACCACAATTCCCAGGATTTTCTTGGATCAAACCTTGTATCTCTTCCCCAAGTATTGTGTATATTGGTCTAAGAGACGTGAATCCTCCTGAATTTTTTTTTGAGATGGAGTTTCGCTATTGTTACCCAGGCTGGAGTGCAATGGCGTGATCTCGGCTCACTGCAACCTCCGCCTCCTGGGTTCAGGCAATTCTCCTGCCTCAGCCTCCTGAGTATCTGGGACTACAGGCACGCGCCACCATGCCCAGCTAATTTTTTGTAGTTTTAGTAAAGATGAAGTTTCACCATTTTGACCAGGATGGTCTTGATCTCTTGACCTCGTAATCCACCCGCCTTGGCCTCCCAAAGTGCTGGATTACAGGCTTGAGCCACCACGCCTGGCCAGAACATTTTATTTTAAAGAGCTATGATATCCAGTATTTTTCCATGAGAGATATGGATTGCCTTGGTATCCAGAAGGTCATGGAACAAACATTTGATCTGCTGATTGGCAAGAAACAAAGACCAATCCAACTGAGTTTTGATATTGATGCATTTGACCCTACACTGGCTCCAGCCACAGGAACTCCTGTTGTAGGAGGACTAACTTATCGAGAAGGCACATATATTGCTGAGGAAATACACAATACAGGGTTGTTGTCGGCACTGGATCTTGTTGAAGTCAATCCTCAGTTGGCCACCTCAGAGGAAGAGGCAAAGACTAGAGCTAACGTGGCAGTGGATGTGATTGCTTCAAGTTTTGGTCAGACAAGGGAAGGAGGGTACATTGTCTATGACCAACTTCCTACTCCCAGTTCACCAGATGAATCAGAAAATCAAGCACGTGTGAGAATTTAGGAGATACTGTGCACTGACATATTTCACAACGGGCATTCCAGAATTATGAGGCATTTGAGGGGACAGATACTAAATGGTTGTCTGGTCAATACTGCCTTAATGAGAATATCTGCATATTCTCACAATTGTAAAGTTTCGCCTCTGTTTTGGTGACGAATACTACTATAAATGTATTTGTGTTTTTTTGCAGTTCACAGGGCATTAATATGCTACAGTACTATGTAAATTTAAAGAAGTCATAAACAGCATTTATTACCTTGGTATATCAAAAAAAGGAAACTTATGTAAATTAAGTTTCCTTCCTTTGCTATGCTGCTAGCGTCCTAAGATGATACCTTTGTTGAAAGAATTGTGAATAGCATGAGGCAGTGGGAGAAGAAGTGATGGTCATTTCTATGCATTCAGGCTGCCCTTGGGGCTGCCTCCCTTCTTATTCTTCCTTGCTGCACGTCCATCTCTTTTCCTGTCTTTGAGATTGACCTGACTGCTCTGGCAAGAAGAAGGTGTCTTTACAGAGGCCTCTTTATTGACTAACTGAAGTATAGACTTACTGCTGTACAATCTTCATGGGCATCACCTCTCCCCACATGTAACCCAAAAGAGGTGTCCAGAGCCAAGGCTTCGACCTTCATTGTCCCTCTCTGTGCTCAAGGAGTTCCATTCCAGGAGGAAGAGATGTATACCCTAAGCAGATAGCAGAGAAGATAATGGAGGAGCAATTGGTTATGGCCTTGGTTTCCCTCAAAGCAATGCTGCAGATTTATCTGCACAAACATCTGCACTTTTGGGGTAAAGGTGGGTAGATTCTAGCTCTCTGGACTACCTTCAGGAGGCACAAGAGCTGGGAGAAGAGGAAAAGCTACAGGTTTACCTGGGAGACAGCTGAGAAGAGAGCAGACTTACAGGCGCTGGTGCTTGGATTTAGCCAGGCTCCTCTGAGCACCTCATGCATGTCCCAGCCCCTGGGCCCTAGCCCTTTCCTGCCCTGCAGTCTGCAGTGCCAACATGCAGATCCCTTTACCACAGGGTTTCGTTTTGCTGGTTTGAAGACATATGGTCTTAGAATTTATCGAGACCCATAGCTTCATATGGCTGCTCCAGCCCTACTTCTTAGCATTCTTACTCCTCTTCTGGGGATAATGTCAGCATCTATAGACAATAGGCTATGAAGAAAAATCACCTTTTAAACAAGAAATGGAAGGCATTTGATGCAGAGTTTTTGCATGACATAGAAATAATTTAAAAATAGTGTTTGTTCTGAATGTTGGTAGACCCTTCATAGCTTTGTTACAATGAAGCCTTGAACTGAAGATATTTAATAAAATAACCTTTAAACAGTAAAGGTTGATACATAGGTAAAAAGAGAGTGACATAGACTCATTCTTGTCTTTTCCAAAGTTACAGAAATAGAAAAAAAAAAAAGGAAAAAGGAAACCACTACAAAACTATAATATTTCACAGACATAACACAAAAAACAGTTGAAGTGTAGAAAATAAACAACCTAACGAATCAGACAATGTAGTGCACACTTATTACCCAGGCTGATCTCAAACTCCTGGCCTCAAGCAATCCTCCCACCTTGGCTTCCCAAAGTGTTGGGATTACAGGCATGAGCCACAGCACCCAGCCCAGATTCTTTCATTAGTATATGAAATATGAACTGTTTAAAAACTGTCTGCCAGATATCAGGGTAAGTATTGGTTATACAAAGGCAAACTACAAAGATCACTCAAAAGCCCCAAATTTATACTTTATACACTACATTGGCCATACACATGTAAATGGTGATTTTGTAAGCTTGCCTCCAATGATTTAGGTGGAATAAATCTGCGGCAACATTCACACTCAGTAAAATAAAGAATATGATCAATTTAATTATGTCTGCTGGGGCACAGGATAAGCATGGAAAAGGGGAACTATAAAATTGAAACTGTGTCAAGAATGTTTGCCACCTCTGATTTAGCCAAAAGGTTTGATGTTTTGTGTAGGTATCATGTGAAGAAAAGTATGCCCAATACATTAAAAGTTTATGGTGAATTTTTATGTCCAGAAAAATGTGTGTATAATCCCATAAGGGGCTTAGAGAGGAAAGGAAAATATCTGCAATATAAATGCAGATTACCTTTATTACAAAGTTGGATCATATTCTCATTCCTAGACTAATTTCCTATATCATAAAACCTATATTCAATTTTATAAATAGCATACACCAAGAATCATAAATTGAGTTAATGCAGAAATTTAACAGATTTATTTAAATAAAAGTGAGAAAAGGCTGTTTTAGAGAAAATATCTGAAAGGACAGAAAGGGTTCTTTCTTTGAAGATAGGTTTTTCCCTCTGACTCTATATCTTTAGGGACATAACCAGAGAAGAAATAAATTTGACAGCTAATACATATGAAGTAACATGTTTAATATTATCCAATGAATTTATATCTATCTATACCATATAAATTTATCTCACATAAGCTGTCACCTCCAACAGAATTCATTAAAACAATGTTATAGCTTCTGAATCAAATGGAATCTTTTAATTGGAATTTAATCTTAAAATAAGAGTTGGTGGGTTTTCTCTTTCAATTGACAAATGGAATAATTCATTAGTTTGTCTTCAAGTTTTGTCTGAAAAACTTAAAAGCAAATTTGACACAGGGATGGGCTGACCACTGCTGTGTGGTACTCGGGAATTGGGGTGGGGGTGTGGATATTCTTTCATCGTCTGCTGAACACCTCCTGCTGCTTATGGGCAGGAAGGGATGGACACTGTCTCTCACCATCATGAATTACTACATTACTAATATATTCCATTACCTCCACATAAATGTCATGTTAATTTCTGATCTTCATCAAGCCAGATAATGGTTTCCACCTTGGCCCCTAGCCAGTTAGCTATGTGGAAAATATTTAGACAATTACATTATTCATATTGGGTTAAGAACTAGAGAGAAAGGTAAAATAAACGCATTGAAAATACTTCACAGATAAAATGTAAGTTGACACCGTCCTTGCATGTGGGAGCCCGAGTGATGCAACCTGACAGGCAGCTGCCAGCACTCATCACTGCTTATTAAACCTAGCCTCTCTTTATGGTGTGAGTGAAGATCTGTATTTTTACCAATATTGGGTTCATTTTGTTATGAAAGAGACCAAAATACTTAAGATCATTCGCTCCAGCTTATAAAACATATTATGTAGTTTATTAAATTGTTGAAATTACTTTACAAGGTCAAAATTCCAAAGACTGGAAGTTTAAGCACAACACAGTGGGTTGGTCCCCAACAGGCTGCAGCACAAGGCAGACCAGAAAGGAAACCTGTCAGCTGGCTCTCCTGGCCCAAGGTGCCTGCCAGCCACACATACCTTCTGGAAGCTGCATCACCACTGCCCCACCCCAAAACCCGTCACAGAAAGTCCATATTCTAGAGTTTTATTTTAAAAAGAAAGAAACTTCCAGCCAAAAAGTAGCCCTTCACGAAGTCTTCAGTGAGAAGGATGCATTTTCCCATGTTTTTATCTCTTCCTAGTAAGTCAAAAGGTAGCAATTTGATTGTAAGAGAGATCAAAAGAGGAAGGCTGAGCAAATAAGGGGAAACAATTGTGAGCAAATAACACACAATGAATGTCACATGACGCTTATGTCTTTTCATCAGATCTACCAGCAAGGGACAAATTATTGGTAGAGACCATGCAATGACAGGGCAGAGATGAACAAATAAGCTAGCACATTCACCATCTCTCTAGTCAGCCCTTCTCAAAAAAACTCTATGCAAATGCAAATTGTTATGATCACATTTATTAATAACACTATGGCTAACTGCCTATTCAATATGTAGCAGGCATTGCCACGCTGCATTCTGGAAGTCCTGTGATGTGCATCCTATAGCTACCAGTGTCAACTAAAGCTTCATACCAGAAAACAGGAGCCCACTCCAACTCCTTCCTGGTGAACGGTGGCAATAAAGAACCACAGCACAAAGAGAAACACGAAGTGCTCAGCCCTTCTTCCTCTGTCTCCTGCCTCTAAGTTAATTTATTATGCAAGCATAGTTATTGCCAGCATCAATCGAGTACATTTCCCATCTTCTGACCTTAAAAAAATTGGCCATAATTATCTATTTGTGCAAACCTTTTATTTCATGGTTTCATTTCCTTGAGTTTGATTGAGGCAATTTGTTGTTCTGGCTGCCTACCTCTGTGATTCTGACCCTGGTCTACCAGGAGGACACTTACCACGAAACGCTTCACTCAGAATTAGAGTTTATTTCAAGCCTAAAGACTCCAGATTATCAGCTGTAACAATTAATTGGTGCTCCTTTTGGTTATTCAATAAACTGTGAAGTTCTAAAAGGCACAGGACTGTGAACAAATGTTTGACAATGGAAGGCCTAACTATCAGGTCCATAATGCATGGAAGGCCAGTCACTGCAGCACCCAGGGAGAGAGTGAGTCCTTTGAGTAAGCCTTGGAAATGCACCTTGAGAAAAAAATGTGGCTGGATACAGTGGCTCACGCCTGTAATCTCAGTACTTTGGGAGGCTGAGGCGGACAGATCACTTGAGGTCAGGTGTTCGAGACTGGCCTGGCCAGTATGCTTAAAACCCTGTCTCTACTAAAAAATACAAAAATTAGTTGGGTGTCGTGGTGGGCACCTATAATTCCGACTACTCAGGAAGCTGAGGCAGGAGAATAGCTTGAACCTAGGAGCTGGAGGTTGTAGTGAACTGAAATTGTGTGACTGCACCCCAGCCTGGGTGACAAGAGCAAAACTCTGTCTCAAAAAAAAAAAAAAAAAAAAAAAAGAAAAGAAAAGAAAAGAAAATGAGGGGGATAGAAAATCAGAACATGTGGTCCAGCTCATAGGATTTTGGAGACCTTTACCGTTTACTAAAAAATACAGAGAAGGGAAGTTTTTTACAGTCGGATAAATACTAAGAACTTCCTTATTTAGGGAAAAAAAAAAAAAAAACAAATTTGTGTTCCACTAGGCCTAAAAGTCTATTTTTCCAAAACAGGTATCATTTTCATTACAGTTCTTCAGATTGATTTTTCAAATAATGGGCCAAACCCAACTGAAATTAATGGAAAAAATGAGCCTTGTTTTCAACAAATCCATTCATGTGGTTTTGTTAAATTTCATACATCAATTTTATAACAGTAAGATTGAGTCAGACTCTCTCAATACCAAAGACAGAGATGACAGGTAACCAAAAACCTGTGTTTGTTGTTATTTCAATACTTCAGAATTCTAAACACTTTCATGA